CCGTATGGTGTAACTGAGTGTTGTGAAATTTTTGCAATGTTTACATAATTAAAGTAATTGTGAGTAAATAGTGAGTTTTCCTGCTATGGTCCCTTTAAGGCAGATTCCATATAGAATGTGAGGCAGAAAGTGCTGATACACATAAACTCAGTCTTTATTTTAACTATATACGTATAAATTTAAAGGAATAAAATTTTCAGCATCATTCAGTGAATTTATCAGGTTTGGTTTCAGCTAACTAGAGGTGAAATAAGCTACACTCTTAAAAAAGACAGTTCTGCAAGGGTTCTTTAGGAAAGACAATGGTTCTATATAGAACCATGAACACTCCAAGAACCCTTTCATGCTTAAATGGGTCTTTGCATCGTGATATATTCTTCGGATTGATGTGTAAATGGTTCTATGTAGAACCTTTTTGAAAAGGGTTCTATATAGCACCAAAAAGGGTTCTGTTACTGTTACAATGTCAGGCTTGCAACAATAGGAGAAGCCTTTTTTGGTGCTATATAGAACCCTCTACAGCAAATTCTCCATCAATCTGAAGAACATTTCAACATGCCAAGAACCTTTTAATCATGCCAATGTGGTCAACTGTCACAAGAGGATGGCACTGACCATCCCTGACCACCCCTCTGTGTTAGCTACATTAGCCTCATAGCTCCAGTGCTAAACTAAACCAACTTTAGACACCAAACATTACTTAGAACATCAATCAGCTTTTCCCCCAACCTGTCGCTTTAATGTTATGTATCAGTCCCACGTTGCCGTGCGTAAAAACCCCGTCCACATCTGTAGAAGTGACGTCTATCTAATCTAACGATATCTATGGTGTAACTACTCGGCCTGTTCATGCGGAGTGACGTCTATGTTATTTTTGAGTCTAAGGTGGAGGAGAAGTTTCCTGAAGTTTCACAGTGAATTCTGGAGAATAACTGGCGTACAGAGCAGGTTGAGGTAACTCCCTAGTCTACACACACACACACACACACACACACCTACATACGCCTGTGTACCGAAGATAAGAACCAATAAACAACCGTACTCCGACCACGCGAGAACCTTTAAACGCTTGGAGAAATCCACAGGCTGAGTGAACTTCATACACACACATAATCACAAAGTATCCGCTCCACAGCTCGCAGCCCAGAGTCCTCAGGGTTTCAACTTTTCACTAATTTGAATAATTCATAACTCTGTCGGTCACCACGGGAGGTCTTTTAACGCTAACGCTAGCTTTATGTGGCGAAACTCTCACCAAACTTGAATGAGCCAGAAGGGTTGCAAAGAAATCTCATGAAACAGCCAATCAAAATGCAGATGGCATGACCTACAGGTCCACATCCAGACATATGCTTCCTTCAAGTCCTCCTCGGAAGTTATATACAACTTGTACATATGACTTGATTTGTGTTCAAGTGGTTTTGGTTGGATACAAGATAAACACACCAGCACTAATGTTTTACTTTATTGGAATTGCTCAGATCTTTCTTCTTATTATTATTATTATTATCCTTTTTTTCCTGAAAAACATGTTGTGGAGAAGAGGCCGTAAGCCCTAGAGACACCTCCTAGAGAACTTGGTGGATAGGTGTAGTTTGTGTGCATCTAGCCAGGCAACAAAAATTACCCCGATTGGCCATCGGGGGAACTATAGCGCAGCAAAACACGTTTTGCCTCATAACTCCTAAACCAAATTTGTTAGAGACAAAATTCTTTTTCCTGATTCCTTGGGTCAAAACAAATAACTTTGCAATTTGGACCATTTAGCTCCGCCCACTTAGATTTTTTGCAAATTTGCATAATATGCGAAACATGCTTTTGCAAACTAGTCCTAGGTTTTTTTTGCTCAATCCTCATTTATCTGGTATCAAAAAATTCAGAAGAGTCTGAACATGGTGTTGCTCTATCAGTTAATCACTGCAGCCACGGCACTGACAGCTTGACTTGTTATAACTCCTCAGTCTTTGGTCCTATTATCTCAAAATTTGAAATATTTGTATATGTTGAGACTCGGATGGGGTCCACAAATTTTGGTCCAGATTGGCCTTTAGGGGGAGCTTCAGCACTCAAAAACACTAAAAATCATTAAAAATGCTATTACAATGTTATTATGAAGTCTACAGATAAAGAAGTGGTGCCATTGGATTCAGTTCACTGACCTGAACAACCTTGTAATTACATGTTATGTCAGAAATTTCACTCCTTGTCTGGTGTTTTGGCTTAAATTTGCTTGGCACACTGTACTTTTTACCATGGTTGCCTATTAGGCCTAATTGGGCTAATGCGTGCTTGGACCCGCTCAGTGTGTTTATCTCGTATATATGCTACTTAGACAACCTGAAGGCAGCAATATACCCAGCCAGAACGTTTGGAGTTTAGATTGAGATGCAGTTGGTTGTTTTTAGCTAAAATGATACGATATTTGAAAAAATACTGGCTAATCTAGCTAATCTAGCGAAAGAACCGAATGTGTGGCTTGGTTTAACTGCAGAGCTTTAACATTGACATTTCACCACATAAAGCTAGCCTTTCTAACATTTCCAGAGGGACTACATCTCCCATAATTCCCCACTTTCTCTCTCCACAAACGCTACCCAAAATAAATTCTCCGAGCACCAGGACAGGATGTGAAAAACGTGAAAAACTAGAATGTCTGAACGCATCGGACGGAGGATGGAGGAAAGGCATAAGTGTTAGCACCCCTTTAAAAACGTGTGTGT